TTAATAATCTTACTGATAGTTATCTTTGTAATTCTATATAGTGGAAAGTTGTAAACCCTACTGTCTATATCAACTAATTAATCAAATAACACAAAATTAGTTCATAAAAGACTAAAAACTTTGCAATCCAGTCACTGCTACCGATAAACCAAACCTATATTAATAAAACATGGAATCAACAGAATATAATTAATTGAAACTTTACCTAGAAACTGCCCGATATCCACCTGATATCACTCCCTGTACACAAAGAAGGATAACATCCTAAAGCAAAAATTTTGTCATAAATAATGGACAACTATATCGAAAAGAAGCAAAGAACAATCAGTTATTGAAAGTCATATAAACACACGAAATAGAACCAATATTATATCTATTTCATAACCATCTGACTGGAGCACACCTAGAAATTGATAAAGTAACTAACAAAATAAGGTCACAATACTACTGGCCACAAATGTACAATCACATACGAAACTATATAAAGACTTGTGAAAATTATCAAAGGAGAGGAAAATATAGAATTCCCAGACCCTTACAACCTATACTAGTAGAGTCTCCTTTCCATCGATTGGGAATTGACTATGTAGGACCTCTACTATTAACAATGAAAGGAAATCAATATATAATTGTAGTGACCGATTATTTAACAAAATGGCCTGAAGCACGAGCTGTACCAACAGCGGATTCAAATCATACAGCAAGTTTTGTCTATGAAGAAATTATTTGTAGACATGGAGCCCCTACATACTTGTTAACAGATAAAGAAAAATATTTCGATAATATACTTGTAAAAGAACTAACTCAAAAATTTGAAATAAAACACTTTCTTTTCACTCCATATCACCCTCAGACAAATGGATTAGTGGAACGATTTAACTGAACTTTGTATGAATCGTTAGCAAAACTAGATGATAAAGGAGACTAATGGGATACCTTGATTCCTCCAGTACTATTTGCCTATTGTACTGCCAAACAATCGACTACTAAAATAATACCATTTATGTTAACATATGGACAAGAAGCCTATTTCCCAATATTTAGACAAGAAGAAATTATCGAAGAAAATATGTTGTCCCGACTCTTCAACATAGTTGAACAGTTACCTAAAAATAGAGAAAAAGCTAAACACAAATAAGAAAAGCCCAAAATAGACAAAGGTTTTATTAGGACAAGAAAAACAAACAAGTGAAGTGTATGTTTAATCAAGGAGATAAAGTGTTGTTATACGACATGATAATAAATAAAAGTTTTTCGAGAAAACTCTTACCAAAATGGAAGGGACCCTATTACATACATCAAAAGGTCACACAAGATATATACAAGTTCCGCATGATAGACAGACGAATTATAGATATACTAATTAATGTGCTACTATTAAAATGATACTACCAAAGAACTATAAAAGTCTGAGTATTGACAAGAAAAACAACTATAACAAAATGAATACACCCATTGAACTCGTTTTGCAAGAACTGAGCTCAATAGACCCAATAGATATCACGAACGATCCAAAACCTTATAACCCGTCCGACAGCTTTAAATGAAAAATTAGAAAGACTAACTGAAAATTGATACAATCAGCCAGGTATAGGCGACGGAGAAAAAAATCATTAATGTACGCTTATTATCTTGGAGAACTTTTAGAAGAAGAACCTGATTCACAAATTGAAAATACATAGTACACTCGAAACATTACTACATATTATAAAAGAGTCTCGATAAGGACATATTATCTCTTTAAATTATACAACATAGATGCCATATATTGAACTTCATCGCTTAGTTTAAGAATGATTGACAGAATAAAAGCTGACCACTATGCTTACCTTATTGGCGATTACTCGTGGAACTCATAAATAAGAAGGGAGGAATGTTACAATCAGAAGTCGTATAAAATCATGATAAGACATTCAAGTAACAATTGAATCACGTGTCAATGTTGTATCGATATTCATCCGATTAACCACATCGATATATGAAGACTGATATGTGACATGAATAACAATAGTGCTAGAAGTTGCTGAAGAGTGCTTAAAGATCTAAAAAGCACTATAAGATATATTAGTTATATTAAATATTAAAGATCTGATTATATGTATTAGATATGTTATATCATTTATAATTAACCAATAGAATAGATATAATATAGCCGATAGATGTAATAGTCAACGATATAATCGTTAAAATGTATAAATAACCCCGATATCCCTCTAGAGAATCGACAGTTTTGTTCTGAATAAACTTAAGAATAGTATTATTCGATTATTAAATAAACTCAAAGGACATAGTTATTCTGAGTGACTAATGTGTTTAGTCTGAATAACTGGTAATATTTTTATTAATTGATAAATTGTTGTAACGATCATTCGTATCCTCATATACGTTTAATCATTTGCCTCTTTCGTAACTGCAAATCACCTTAAATCCTATTCGATGCTTAACAGTGATATACATCTTTTACTTAGCACAAACCTAATATCCATATCAGTTAACCAATATCCTTAGCTGTAGTAAAAACCGTCACCCAGGATCCTAGAATAGGTAGATTCCGGTTGTGACATTTAGTGGTGACTGTGAGATAAAGTTCTCTGTCATCAAAAAGGAAGAAAAGTTAGTAAGTTCTCCACGAGCCAAAGTGTAGGCGTAAGGAACATAGTGTATGAATACTTATAATGCGTTTATTTATCGAAACTAACAACATGACTACCAACATAGTCTGCAACCCAATACATCCCAATTTAGAAGATACTTATTACAAAACTATTCCGATTATTCTTGTATCCTCTGCTTCCCAGTATTAGGACAAGTATCAGAACGGTTTAGCACTTTTTGGAATTGGCTTTCCGAAGAATATCCTATTAACAATTACACCGCAGTTTCTATAGAACTTTTTAGGAGGATAATTCAAAGATTGAATCCTCCCGACGAATATTTTAGAGCAATAATCTTTACCTTCAGATATGAGTCTGAAGTTGATTTCGACACACTAACCCTTCGACTTAGACAAGCACATATCCTAACTGATTACTTTAGATTAGATCCATTTTTAACCTTATATAATTATAGTAAAACGACATCAATTAAAAATTCAGAATATTTGGAAGAAATATCAGATTCAGATTCAGATTATAACATCGATATTTTATTTCAAACACCCACAACTACACCCATTAACCCTAATTCAAACATGGCTACAAACGATAACGTCCTTAACTACCTGAAAAATAATCAAAAGGAAAACACATTATTAAGAATCGACCTCTTTTTTGGAGATGGAACCCAAGACCCGTTAACCTGGTTAGAAAGTTTTGAAAAAGCTGTGGCTGCTAATAACTGGAATGCTAAAAGAAAAAGAGAAATTCTCCCTGCTTTCCTACGTGATAATGCTGACAAATGGCAACAAACATATTTTACTGCCAATGCTGCCACAAACAACCCAGCTAACAATTGGACCGCTACAAATACTGCTTTTAAGAATCAATTTTGCTCTCAACGATGGAAAAATAAATGGTTAAAAGAACTAGATAGTCTTAAACAACAAATAAACGAACCAGTAGATACTTACTATAGTAAATTCAAATGCCTAGTTAAAAGAGTAGATACTGGAGGAGCTCTCCCAGATGCCCAAAAGTTATATTATTTCAAAAAGAGATTAAGAACAGACATACTCCTGATAATCCTGATGCATAATCCAGCAGACCTACCAGCAATCCTGGCTTTAGCCTGAGTACATGAGCAAGGGACCGATTTTGCTATGAATGCAGACCCGATTCACGCAACTAGGACTAAAAACTTAGAAAAGAATATAGAGTTCCTAACTCAGCAAATGCAGCAAATGTCATTGAATTATGCGACAATTGCTTCGGCTTTAACTGCACAAGTACAAACAGGACCGTCCAAGTACAATAATACTTCTAGGCCTAACATATTGTGTTACAACTGTAGAGAAAAAGGACATTATGCTCGGAATTGTTTATCAGAAAGAAGACATACAAGAGAACAAAAGGTACAACTTTACCAATCAAATAACAACCGTCAAAGAGACGTTAGTTATGTAGGAACAGAGGAATATGATGAAGAAACAATATACATCGCCCAAAAATCAAGATCTCAACTGTATACCAAAGATCGAAGAGAAGTTAAGCAAAAACAATTCGAATCTCGCAAAGAACATGCACTAAGAAGTAAAGTGCCAAGACCGCAAGCACAAGATATAGATGAATCGATGAATTAGAAGACAACATATCTGAAATAACTCCTATTGAGACCCCAGTCAGAAAAATCATTAGAAAACGATTACCATTAGTAATTGACAAAATAGAGCCATATGACATATCGGAAGACATACTGAACACAAAAGCACAAATGACACTTGCGCAAGTCCTCCAGTACCCAAATCAAAGGAGAAACTTAGCAAAAATTTTAAGGAGAAAGAAACCACCAATTATTGAAACCAATCAAGTAGAAACAGATGACAATCGGAAAACTATAGCTATGAGGTATCATGTCAAGATTAAAGGAACACCCGTTGTCGCTATTCTGGACTTCAGAGCCGCAGTAAGTATTATTACTCACTGATTAATGAAGAAACTAGGTCTTACACCTATTCGCGAGTCAAAGATGGTAGTCATCACTGCTAATAGCAGAAGATCTAAGGCACTAGGAGTAATAGAGGAGGTTAAAATCATCCTACAAGATATTGTTATACCAATAAACCTCCAAGTCATAGAATTGAAGGATAAAACTTTACTTTTGGGAACCGATTGGTTTATGAAATCCCGTACCACCTTAGACTTTGGAAAACACACCCTACATATCCGATACTTAGGAAGACAAGCAACCATTAACACCACTCAATCTCGTGAAATTCCTACTCACCTTGTTGAAGTTGACGAAAAAGACGATAATCAATAGATTGACGAATTAGAAAACGAGGAAGATGAAACTGAGACTTTTTTATCTGATGAATTGGTTAACGACCAGGATGAAGATCTATGTTATAACTCCTGGGAGAACGAAATTAGAATGAATCCTACAACATACCTAGCAGAGGTTCTAGTGATTAAAGAAGACGACTTAAAACCAGAATTTAATATCGGTCAAGGCCTTACCGATAGTCAACAAGATAACGCTTAAAAATTACTAGAAAGAAATCGGGATATATTTGCTAAAGATATATCCGATGAGGGTCAAACCATGTTGTTAGGGTACACTAACAAAACCAACCATCATATTAATACAGGTAACGCCAAACCGATTAAGCAAAAGCCTTACTGAATGTCCATCAATGACCAAGAATTCGTACAAAAAGAAATCAAAAAAATGGAAGAGTGAAAGATAATTCGATCTGTTGAAGGACCCTGGAGTTCACCGATAGTCATAGTTCTAAAAAAAAATAATAAGAAGCGTATCTGTATCGACTACAGAAAATTAAATGCTATAACTGAAAAAGATGTATATCCACTCCCAAATATTAACAAAATACTAGATAGTTTCGGAAAGGCGAAATAGTTTTCAAGTTTAGATTTGGCCAGTAGATATTAGCAAATCGCAATGGCTGAAGAAGATAAGAAAAAAACAGCATTCATAACAAAATTTGGCACATATGAATTTAATGTCATGCCGTTTGGACTTTGTAATGCCCCTGCTACGTTTCAACGTCTAATGGATTCAATACTACGAGAATTCTAGAATAAATTTGTAGTTGTATATTTAGACGACATTACGATTTATTCAAACACATTTGAGGAACACTTAGGATATATACGAAAAGTGTTTGATAAATTAAGAGAAGCTAATTTAAAATTAAATTTGAACAAATGCTCCTTCTCTCTACCGAACATCAAATTTTTAGGTTACATCGTAGGAAGAGATAGTTTACGGCCAGATGAAGATAAAATCGAAAAAATCAAAAATTTCTCCACTCTCACAACTATTCGACAAATTAGAGGATTCTTAGGATTAGCCTCATACTACTGAAAATTCATTAATAAATTTTCTTTTTTTTTTTTTTATTTTTATTTTTAAGGTGGCTTACATTGCTAGGCGATTTTTATTAGTTTGATGTACGAGATTATACATAGACAATCCCTACAGTTTGTAACTACATAAAGAGTGTACAACAAGCCACACGTACAACTTTAGTCATTGTCTAATTTAAGTAGTCCGCTGCACAGGTGATAGACCA